TGGGGGTGGGGGGGGGGGGGGGGGGGGGGGAGAGGGAGGGATGAATAGGTGGAGTAGAGAGGATTGTTAGGGAAAATACTCTGTGTGATACTATAATGATGGATGACATCATATACATCACATAATGACGTCATTATACATTTGTCCAAACCCACGGGATGTACTAAACCGACAGTGAACCCTAATGTAATCTATGAGCTTTGGGTGATTATGATGTCAAAGTTGGTTTATCAACGGTAACACACGCACCACTCTAATGGGGGATGCTGGCGGAGGCTGTGTGTGTGGGGACAGGGGGTATATAGGGAGTCTCTGTGCTTTATGCTCAGTTGTGTAGGAACATAACACTTCTCTGGCCCTAACCGGTTTGGCTCAGTGGATAGAGCGTCGGCCTGCGGACTGAAGGGTCCCAGGTTGGATTCCAGTCAAGGGCATGTACCTTGGTTGCGGGCACATCCCCAGTAGGGAGTGTGCAGGAGGCAGCTGATCGATGTTTCTCTCTCATTGATGTTTCTAACTCTCTATCCCTCTCCCTTTCTCTCTGTAAAAAATCAATAAAATATATTTAAAAAAACCCACCACCGCAGGGCAGGAGGGGATGCAGTTATCTCATTTAACAAATGAGGAAGCAACAGAGAGATGATACCTGGCTTCCCACCCTGTTTCGACTGGGGTCAGTGTTTAAATTCAAAACTGGTTTCTCTGACTCCAAAACACTTATTTGATTCATTAAAAGTACATTTGGGTAGAGGCACGCAACACCTTACTTTTAGGAAATCCTGCAGGTAGAAGGTCCAGATTTAAGTCCCGAAATCCCACGGTGCCTGAACCTGGCCCATCCGCGTGTTTCCCAATACGTGAGCCAAATGTTCTCATTTTCGATGAGGCGATTTTGAGTTTGTTAAACGATTTGGAGTTTGTTTTCGTTAGTTGCTTAAAAAGAAGCAGATTTGCCCACTGGTGTGGCTCAGTGGTTGAGCGTTGACCTATGAACCAGGTCAACAGTTTGATTCCCGGTCAGGGCACATGCCCAGGTTCTGCGCTTGATCCCCAGTAGAGGGCGTGCAAGAGGCAGCCAATCAATGATAAAATATATTAAAAAAACACTTCTCTGAAAAAAAAGTCTATTTTAAAATATGCATTATGAGGGAAGAAGGGAGACAGCCAGGAATGACTATTTACTAAGGGACTACATAGATAAGAGCCTTCCATCTATTATCTCATTTACTCCTCATTCCACCACCGCAGGGCAGGAGGGGATGCAGTTATCTCATTTTACAAATGAGGAAGCAACAGAGAGATGATACCTGGCTTCCCGGCCGTGTTTCGACTGGGGTCAGTGTTTAAATTCAAAACTGGTTTGTCTGACTCCAAAACACTTATTTGATTCATTAAAAGAACACTTGGGTAGAGGCACGCAACACCTTACTTTTAGGAAATGCTGCAGGTAGAAGGTCCAGATTTTAGTCCTGAAATCCCACGGTGTCTGAACCTGGCCCGTCCCCGTATTTCCCAATACTTGAGCCAAACGTTCTCATTTTCGATGAAGCGATTTTGAGTTTGTTTGCATTAGTTGCTTAAAAAGAAGCAGATTTGCCCACCGGTGTGGCTCAGTGGTTGAGCGTTGACCTATGAACCAGGTCAACAGTTTGATTCCCAGTCAGGGCACATGCCCAGGTTCTGCGCTTGATCCCCAGTAGAGGGCGTGCAAGAGGCAGCCAATCAATGATTCTCTCATCCTTTTTTTTTTTTTTAATAAAAATTTTTTTATTGCTTAAAGTATTACAAAGGGTATTACATATGTGTCCTTTTTTCCCCCGCCCTTGACAATCCCCTGGCCTCCCCTACCCCCCAGTGTCTTATGTCCATTGGATTCTCTCATCCTTGATGTTTCTATCTGTCTCCCTTTCCCTTCCTCTCTTTCTGAAATCAATAAAAATATATTAAAAAAAGAAAAAGAAGCAGATTTCATTCTACTCTCTGTAAGTTGATGAATGTGAGAAAATCCAAATGACCGCATCTTGGAACACTGAGATGAAATAATACCATATTTGAACCCAATTGATATACATTTAAATAAATTCCAATACTCTGTTCTAATGTGACACAGCTAGTCAAAGTGGAAAACAGCAGAACAGCTTCCCACTGAGCCAGGAGGCAGTCGCTGTCCAGTGGCTGATGGCCGTGTCTTCTTTTTATTTTTTATTTTTTTACAATTCCATAACACATCATCTGTACATTGTGCTGTGTGTTCACCACCCCAATTCAAGTCTCCTTCCATCACCATTTATTTCTCCTTTACCCTTTTATACCTCCCCTATCCCTCTGGTAATCACCATATAGTTGTCTGTGTGTATAAGTTTTGTGTGTGTGTGTGTATTGTGTGTGTGTGTGTGTGTGTGTGTGTGTGTGTGTTGCAGTGTCTTCCATCCCCAGCTCCTTTCCCCTGACATCACATGTTTAAGTTGTTTCACATCTTATGGCCCAGGTCTCCTCATTTCTATAAAAACCGCCCTCGCTCTGGACCATGCGGCTGAGAGAATAAAATAAGAGCAAGTGCTTTACAAAGGGAGAAGGGCATATTTTTTACTCACTCACTGAATCTGGAAAACAAACAGTTTCCGAATTGCTTCATTCTATCCATGTGCCTTTCCTCTCTGCTTTAACACCTGCACAGCGTAAAAACCACCACATCTGCACAACGTAACGACCGCGCTACTGTTCCTAGATGTGTGGACGCTGTTCCTAGATGTGTGGACGCTGTTCCCATTCTGCTGGTGATGGCTCCAGCGGAAGGGGTTGCCCTGGCCGGATATACATGGTGGGAAAGTACAATAGACTTGATCCGCTAGTGAGTAATTCCATCAGGACGTGGGATTTCTGCATCTGGAACTCCACGGCCTTAATAAACAGAGCTAGCAAGACTCCGGATGATCCACGGGCCAGATGATTTGAATATCGTCTCCCATTTACCCTTCATCCAATGCAGGAGAAGCTCTTGTTGGGCCCATTTTACAGATGGGAAAACTGAGAGCTTAAATACATTGTCTAAGGTTAGACGCTTTAACAACGGCAGGGGTGGGACTGTTGCCCCGGCGGGGTGCTGTCACTGAACTCCCACGATGCCTGTCTCCGTCACACACGACAGGCTGGCTGTGGTCCTGTGTGTAGGGAAGGGGCATGGTGCCAGGACTCACCTGTGACGAGCCAGTCACCACCTCAGCTATAAAATGAGGCAAAGGGACCAAAGAACTCCTGCAAATCATTTACGGAAAGAAAACATCTCATAGGGTCTCTTAGCAGGCGAGTCAGCCATAGAGATGCGAGGCTGGCGAGCTCTTTACCCTCATTATTCTGTTTCCTGACCTTCAGCCCCGCCCCCGCCCCCCTGCCTGCCCCCCAGGCTCTGCTTCTTCGCCTGCTGTGGGGTAGAGCACAGCTGGGCCACCACTGATCCTAGGCTCCCCGAGGAGCCTCGCACGCAGGCCGGGCACCTACCGATGTAAGCGGCTCCGTCTGTCACCATGTACTTGTTGCGGTTTAATTTAGGAAAGGTGAGATTCATTTCCTCTTTGGTTGCACAGGCATTCTCTCTTTCCAAGTCAAAAAACTTCTGTAAGACACAAACGAATAAATGAATAGAGTAGGTGAACAGAGAACACTTTTGGTCTTTTTTTAAAAAAATCTATTTTTATTGATTTCATCAAGTGGAATAATACCCAGCAGTAAAAAGAACTGCTGATATGCACAGCATGGATGAGTGCCATATGCATTATGCTAAGTCAGTGGTCGGCAAACTGCGGCTCGCGAGCCCCATGCGGCTCTTTGGCCCCTTGAGTGTGGCTCTTCCTAAGCCTTAGGAGTACCCTAATTAAGTTAATAACAATGTACCTACTTATATAGTTTAAGTTTAAAAAATTTGGCTCTCAAAAGAAATTTCAATCGTTGTACTGTTGATATTTGGCTCTGTTGACTACGTGCGGGCATGCACGTACAGTGCGATTGAAACTTCATGGCCCATGTGCAGAAGTCGGTATTTTGTGGAAGAGCCACACTCAAGGGGCCAAAGAGCCGCATGTGGCTCTTGAGCTGCAGTTTGCTGACCACTGGGCTAGGGCAACATGTTTGGTCTCAGTCAAGAGTACACAAGGGTTTATGATCCCAATATCAACAACAGACCTTACATTGACTTATTAAAAGCACAGTCTTAAAAAAATAAAAATAAAAGCACAGTCTTGTCACCTCCTATAGATGAAGCTATTTTTGTTCTCAAATAGGCAGCGAGAGAGAAAATTAGCAGGCTCAACTGTAATGAACACTTTTAAGCTACGGAATGAACACAAAGGTCTTTCTTTCAATAGCGTGAGGGCCAGAAGGTGGCTGAGTTCTCACTGTCTGACTCTCCAGGGTGCACTGGCAGTTGAAGTTGGCCCCAGGGTGCTTCTGTCAAAGGCACTCACTGAGCCCAGGAACTCAATGAATATTCTTCCAGGCTGCATACATCAGTGGCCCAGGGCCATGACTAGCTGACCAAACTGGGGCTTTGCAAAGGTCAAAAGAGATTTCTGCCGAAGGAACCAATGCTTTGCATGTACAAGCCTCTGTCTAAGGCTCTTTTAATAGGCAAATAAGTGAAAAAAATCACAACTTCAAGTCAGAAATCCTGAATTTCAATGATGTGACCCTTAAAACCGCCTTCCAGCTCACCAGGTGCCAGGGCAGGGGAGGCTCTGACAGCAGGAGGCGGTGGGCTTGTGCCTCAGGGATCTCTTCACACTGTAAGTGCTTGGATGAGGCTTAAACTGTGACTGTTGCCCGGCTGGTGTGGCTCAGTGGTTGGGCGTCGACCTATGAACCAGGAGGTCATGGTTCGATTCCCGGTCAGGGCACATGCCTGGAGTTGGGGGCTCGATCCCAGTAGGCGGTGAGCAGGAGGCAGCCAATCAATGAGTCTCTCTCATAGATGTTTCTATTTCTCTAAAATCAATAAAAACATATTTAAAAAACAAACAAACCACACCAAACCACCTTGGGCCCCAATTCGAAGGAGCAGGAGTACCAGGACTTCACACCAGCTGCCCAGCACGATGTCCAATCGCCTGGGACCAGTGACCGCTGTGGGTCTCCCCACCTTCCCTTTCGGAGTGGGAGTTCTTTTTTTTTTATTTTTTAAAAATATATATTTCATTGATTTTTTACAGAGAGCAAGGGAGAGGGATAGAGAGTTAGAAACATCGATGAGAGAGAAACATCCATCAGCTGCCTCCCTACTGGGGATGTGCCCGCATCCAAGGTACATGCCCTTGACCGGAATCAAACCTGGGACCCTTCAGTCCGCAGGCCGACGTTCTATCCACTGAGCCAAACCAGTCAGGGCGAGTGGGAGTTCTTATTGTCCTTTTCCCGTGAGAAGGGGTAACGTTAACCTGGGTGTGGGTTTTGGGGGAGTTGCTGTTGCTTTTTTAAAGTATATTTTTATTGATTTCAGAGAGGAAGGGAGAGGGAGAGAGAGAGAGAAACATCAATGATGAGAGAAAATCATTAATTGATCGCTGCCTCCTGCAGGCCCCCTACTGGGGATGGAGCCTGCAACCCAGGCATGTGCCCTTGACTGGAATCGAACCTGGGGCCCTTCAGTCCGCAGGCTGACGCTCTATCCACTGAACCAAACCGGCTAGGGCTGCTGTAGTTTTTAGTTTCTCTGTCATTGAGCGTTGAGGCTGGCTGTTGAGAAGGGCACATCCCTGGGAGGCCTAAACTCGGAGCTGTGCAGGGACTGAGGGGCTGAAGGGCTCTATATGGGAAGAGAGGAAAATGGGTAATGGGTGTCCCGGATTTCAGACTGTGATGATTCACAACCCTGTTCCTTCGTCTCCTTGGCGACACAGCTGCCTCCCTGACCACACGCACAGGCCACCTTGCGCTCAGGTGTGGCTGGGTGAGTGGTCTCTGGGCAGCAGAATGAAGTCTAAAGGCATGTTCACCTCCTAACCCACAAATGCCTCCCATGTAGTCCTCCAATCTCTCTCTCCTTGTGCTTTTTGTCTTTTTAAATATATTTTTATTGATTTCAGAGAGGAAGGGAGAGGGAGAGAGAGAGAGAAACATTAATGATGAGAGAGAATCCTTGCTCGGCTGCCTCCTCCATGCCCCCGATTGGGATGGAGCCCGCAACCCGGGCATGTGCCCTGACCGGGAATCGAACCATGACCTCCTGGTTCATAGGTCGATGCTCAACCACTGAGCCACGCGGGTGGGGCCCTGCCCTACCTTTTAAAGTGTTTTTCTCTCTCGAGGATTGGTATTCCTGTTCTTACGGAGAGTTTGTGGGAATGTGTGTGCTTACAGCTTTCACAGATGGATATGCAAAGGGAAGAAACTTTTTCTTTAAGAGCAAAGTCAACAGAATACTTACAACTTTCAAGCTGCAGTTGGCTATTTCAGTGCAGATAGCTTTAAGAGACGAAATAAAGTTAAACGTCAGGGGATCCGTTTCCTTCCAGAAACTGATCAGGAGTCGAACTTTAACGCTTCGCAAAACTAACGCTTCTCTTATTTTCCCGTCCAAGTCTGGCCAGTACGTCCTGTGGAAATAATATCGATGTGGATGAAAATCAAGAAAGCAACTTAGGCCCTAACTGGTTTGGCTCAGTGGATAGAGCGTCGGCCTGCGGACTCAAGGGTCCCAGGTTCGATTCCGGTCAAGGGCATGTACCTTGGTTGCGGGCACATCCCCAGTAGGGAGTGTGCAGGAGGCAGCTGATTGATGATTCTCTCTCATCGATGTTTCTGACTCTCTATCCCTCTCCCTTCCTCTCTGTAAAAAATCAATAAAATATATTAAAAAAAAAACAAAAAAGAAAGCAACTTAGTTTTGAAAATTAGATTTACTAGGCTTCCGAGAACACGGATGTTAATCCGACCATTACTTTGTTCTGTGATATATGTGTGACTTTGTGGGATGCGTTGAAAAAAAAAAAAAGTGAGCCTCCTGGGTAAGGGCACTGAGGGAGGATGCTTTATGGAGACTTGTCCCTGCCTACAACCAGGTCTCCCAGCACCAGGCCTCGGGCTGTGAGGGCAGAGGGCATGGACACCCTGACACCCCACTCCATGCCACCCTCACTGTTTAAAAAAATATATTTTATTGATTTATAAACAGAGAGGAAGGGAGAGGGATAGAGAGTTGAAACATCGATGAGAGAGAAACATTAATCAGCTGCCTCCTGCACACCCCCTACTGGGGATGTGCCCACAACCAAGGTACATGCCCTTGACCAGAATCAAACCTGAGACTTTTCAGTCCACAGGCCGACCCTCTATCCACTGAGCCAAACCAGTTAGGGCTTCTTTTTTATTTTTAATATATTTTTATTGATTTCAGAGAAGAAGGGAGAGGGAGAGAGAGAAACATCAATGATGAGGGAGAATCATTGCTTGGCTGCCTCCTGCACGCCTCCTACTAGGGAAGGAGCCTGTAACCCAGGCATGTGCCCCAGACCAGGAATCGAACCGTGACATGACCTTCTGGTTCACAGGTCGACGATCAACCACTGAGCCCAGCGGATCTGAATGATGAGTGACCTAACATGACCTGAGAGCATCCCAGTGTGCAGGCCAGCTTCCCCAGTGGTCCCCAGCTCGGTGCCTGGTCCCGGAGACCAGGTTCTCAGTCAAGGTCATGCACCCACTGACCTTTTGGTGCTTGTGCTGGAGATGGGCAGGTAGTCCATGACGGCGATGTACACGTACTGCTTGGCGTCGTCTATCACGCTGTAGATGGCGTCGATGTCAAAGCTTCTGTTTTTAGGGCAAAAGAGTTTGGGGGAATTCTGTGAAGACACAGAAACCAAACTTTTAGAGCATTAACTTTTTTTTTTTTTAAGATATTTTTATTGATTTTAGAGAGGAAGGGAAAGGGAGAGAGAGATAGAAACATCAATGATCAGAGAGAATCATTGATTGGCTGCCTCCTGCACATCCCCCACTGGGGATCAAGCCCACAACCCGGGTATGTGCCCTCGGCCAGAATCGAACCCGGGACCCTTCAGTCTGCAGGCCGACGTTGTATCCACTGAGCCAAACCAGCTAGGGCTAGAGCATCAACTTTTGTCAACTGGGGATTTCTCTCTTTTTTGCAAACCTACTTTCCAGTTCTTTAGGAGATAAGACAAATACATTTCCCATCCTATCAAAGTTGAGGCCTGTAGACATCCAAGTGTGGCGGGATTGGTCTCAAGTCTGTCCTTTGAGTCTGTTTTGGGAGGGAACTTAAAAATATATGTATTTTTATTGATTTCAGAGAGGAAGGGAGTGGGAGAAAAAGAAAATCATTGACTGCCTGTTTCCTGCACATCCCACATTGAGCCCACAACCCAGGCATGTGCCCTGACCAGGAATCTAACTGTGACCTCCTGGTTCATAGGTTGACGCTCAACCACTGAGCCACGCTGGCCGGGCTGGGCGGGAATTCTTGCTCTCAATACACATGCCTCTGATTTGGGGAGGAATGCTCCAGCTCTAGACTTATGTGACCCTGGTGTGCCTCCCTGTCACACATAGCTGTTCAATTCCTCAGGCTTTGCCATGTAACACCACATACCGATAACAAGCAATTTATCCCAGAAGCCATTTCATCTGAACGGTGACATGGCTATAGACACGTTTAAGACCCCCTAAAAAGCTCGGTTTCCCCCTCTAATCGTTCATCAATCAGGAAGATGGTTGTTGAGAAAGGGTCATCAATAATTCTAGTGGAGACACAGAGAGAGTTATTAAGATGCCCAAGTTCATCAGGAGAGACAGGGAAAAAAAGATATTCTAAGAGACTTAAGCAAAATGAGAGAGAGGCAAGTTATATTAGAGGTATTTTTCTCTTGTTGTTCAAAGTGCTTTCCATCTTAAAAGTGTATGGTGTTTTGCCCTGGCCAGGTGGCTTGGTGGTTTGGAGCGTCATTCTATACACCAAAAGGCTGCAGGTTCGATTCCTGGTCAGGGCACATACCCAGGTTGTGGGTTCAATCCCCAGTTGGGACACATATGGTAGGCAACCAATCGATGTTTCCTCTCTCTTTTTCTCTAAAATAATCAATTAAAAACATTCTCTCTCTCTCCCCCCCCCCCACTTCTTTCTCTCAAATCAACAAAAACGTATTTTTTAAGAAACAGGCTTCCTAGCTGATTCCTCAGTACTTTAGAGTTTGATGACAGGCTGAAGGCTCAGATACTTATATTGCCCGTCGCCAGTAACACTGTGGAGACAGTGGGATGGTGAGGGGTGGGAGGGTGGCAGGGGAGTTGGGTGAAGGTGTGTGGGGTGGTGGTCTTGCCCTCCAGCCTTGATCAAGTACAAAAGCTTCGCGTTTGTCTGTTTTACACACTGGGGCTCCCTGAGATTTCTTTCATCAGAGGGTTCTATTGCTACAAACAAGTCTGAACATCACTGATGCAGGGCATCAAAGACAGGGTCTGGTATAGAAGACCTGGGTGCTGGTGGCTCTCCTGGCACTTATGTTATAGCAGATAAGCTTCAATATCCTCATTTCTTAAAAAATATATTTTTTATTGATTTCAGAGAGGAAGGGAGAGGGAGAAAGAGATAGAAATATCAATGATGCGCCGAAACCGGTTTGGCTCAGTGGATGGAGCGTCGGCCTGCGGACTGAAGGGTCCCGGGTTCGATCCGGTCAAGGGCATGTGCCTGGGTTGTGGGCACATCCCCAGTGGGAGATGTGCAGGAGGCAGCTGATCGATGTTTCTCTCTCATCGATGTTTCTGACTCTCTATCTCTCTCCCTTCCTCTCTGTAAAAAATCAATAAAATATATTTTAAAAAAAAAGTCTTCTGCACAGCAAAGAAGACCATCAACAAAACAACAAGAAAGCCCACTAGATCGAGCCCGCAACCTGGGCTTGTGCCCTGACCGGGAATCAAACCCTGACCTTCTGGTTCATAGGTCGATGCTCAACCCCTGAGCCACGCTGGCCAAGCCGATATAACCTCATTTGTAACACAGTCACAATCCTAGGTCTACCTTGAGGGATGATTGTAAGGGCCCAATCAGATAACACAAAATATCAGGAATCAGGAATGATTATTAACATTTATCCTTATCATCCTCATTAGGGACAGCATATGACAGAACATAAGAGTGGACAGATTTGAACTCTTCAAGGACTGGAATGGAAACCGACTTGTCGAATTCATTGCTGCCCAACATAAGGCCACCCTCGAGCATCCCAACTTGACAAAGGGCCGGGGGGTGGGGGGGGGGGAGGCCTGGATGAGGAGACAGACCCAACAACTCACCGACACAAAGGCTTGAGATTTGGTTTCGTTCAACTGAAGCTGCAATTTCTTTTCATTGTCATAGACTCCATAGAGCCTCTTGGACCAGGTCTGGGGCACTCTGCTCTTGAATTTTAATGAACTATATAAAGCGAAGATCCTTTGCAAATCCAGGACCAGGCAGCTGCAGTTGTAGAAGATGACACCGAGTTCTTTCATCTGAGAAAAAAAAAGAAGCATCAAGGCCATGTGCGTCTGACAGTGTTCGTTTCAGAGAAAAAACAATGTACCAGAATGAAGCAGTGAGATTTTTTTCTTGCACTTTTATACAGGAGTCTGTAGATATAGGCACGATGGTCTATGGAAGTGAAGTGTCATAAACACACTTAAAATGTAAGGAGGACTTTAGATTCCTTTTGCATTTGGGCTCGTACAGATAATTTTCCCACACTCACTACGCTTTTCACATGGTCTCCTCAGACTTGTTCCCTTTACACTAATTTTTGGTATGAATCCTGAAATTACACAGCAATATAAAGGTTGACTTTTAAAAACGATATATTTTTATTGATTTCAGAGAGGAAGGGAGAGGGAGGGAGGGATAGAAACTTCAATGATGAGAGAGAATCATTGAACGGCTGCCTCCTGCACGCCCCTTATTGGGGATGGACCCCACAACCCGGGCATGTGCCCTTGACCGGGAATCAAACTGTGACCTCCTGGTTCATGGGATGATGTTCAACCACTGAGCCACCTCGGCTGGGCGGTTATGGCAGCTTCCTATGAACTTCTGCTGAAGTCTCAAATCTGGACACGCACAGCCTTCATGACAAGCGTCCACGTGAAGGGAGGCCCCGTGGAAGGAACAGTGACCTTCCTGGGACCTCCTCGCCATTGCTCAGCCTGCGGAATGCAGCGTCCAGACCTTCGAGGCCAGTGGCCCCTACCAGGTCTCCCACCGGGGAGCCCACTTAGGAGTAAAAAATGGAGGCACCTGGCCATTGGAATTCCAGGAGATTTCACTTCAAATGCTTTTTTTTTTTTTTTTACAAATTTGATGTTTAAAATACCAACTAGATGCCAGCTTTGAGAATTATAGTGCCTCTGAGTAGCTTTCTCTCAACCTGAGAATGACTGAGGCCCGTTTCTAATTATTCGTATTTGGTTCAGGCTGGTGTTGACTGAAGATGGAGAAAAAGAAACTGGTTTCATTTTGTAGGTTTTTCAGCCAGAGGAAAAGAATTTAGGGCAGGTGTGTGAGCAAGTTTTCTTAAAACGCTGACAGTGGGAAAAATAACATGGATTTGGGGATTCTGAAGGGTTTCCATGTCTAGACTTTCAAAGGAACAAAAAGCTACGTTGATTGGCTGATAGACTAGCCAAGTCACTCTTTAATGTTTGTTTTTTTTAATTGATTTTTAGAGCGAGAGGAAGGGAGAGAGATAGAAACATCAATGAGAGAGAAATATCGAAACATCAATCGGCTGCCTCCTGACCGGGAATTGAACCAGTGGCCTCTTGGTCCATGGATCAAGTCTCAACCATTAAGCCACATCGGCCGGACATGCCAAATCACTCTTACAGTGACCAGCCCTTCCCCTGGTGTGTCACATGCCAGCCACACGCCAGCCACACGCCCACTTAGAATCCTGATGGGCTGCCCTGACTTCAATCGCACAGCTGAGAGTTGATTGACTGGTCCAACTGTTTGAATAAAATAATCTTGAAAAAGCTGGAAATTTACCAGCCAATGATTCTCTGGTAGAGAATTATTCTTAGGAAAATACTGATTGTCTTTTTGACAAAATGGGTGTAGTGCTAGCGATCGACCCATAGAACTGACTGAGGCTTAGGACTTCAAATTCCTGGAGTACCCTGTTAAGAAGCTGTTCTAAGGGTAATGACTTTAGCCTGCCTGGCGTGTCTCAGTGGTTGGGCGTTGACCTATGAGCCAGGAGGTCATGGTTTGATTCCCAGTCAGGGCAACATGCCCGGGTTGTGGGCTGGATCCCCAGTGTGGGGCATGCAGGAGGCAGCTGATCAATGACTCTCTCCCGTCATTGATGTTCCTATCTCTCCCTCTCCCTTCCTCTCTGAAATAAACACACACACTTTATTTAAAACTTAAATAAATTAAAAGGGTAATGACTTTATTTAAAACTCAAGTTATATCAATGGTTCCACTCTGTCTGTCCCTTGCCCTTGGACATGATGGGAGACACAGTCGAGGAGATGCCGTCATCCCCCTGCATAGGGACAAAGAACCACAGCAGCGGCTCTAATTCGTTGTATCTGTAGCACTTACTGTGCACCAGGTACTGTTCTAAATGCTCTACAACCTGCATCCATTTAAACCTCGCAATGACCCATTTCACAGGGAAAGAAACTGAGGTACAAAGAGATCAAGGGGCTTGCCCAAATGCACAGCCAGAGAGCAGGGAAGCTGGGATTACGACACAGACCAGTTTAATATTTCAATTCCAGGAACAATTATTCACAACGTGGAGTACCCATAAGCCACAGCGCCCTGTGAGCGAGGGCCAAGTCCTGCTGTGTGTCCTTTTTCTGCCTCCCTGGAATTTCTATTTATATTAGTGGCCTGGGTTTCCAAGCACAACGATAGCGGAGGCATCAGCAGCGTTCTCTCAATAAGTGATGAATACCAATTAGCCCAATCACAGCTCAATTGATCATTTACAAATGTTCGGTTTGCTGTTTCCAGGATTTTATAAAAACATGAACAAGCGTGTCTTTAATGTTCTTGACGGAGACAAAAGAACCTGCAACTGTGAGCAACTAAACGTGCATCCAGTTAGTCGCTGATTTATATTCCGAGTTGCTGCAGGGAATTTAATCACTAGGAGCTCTAATGTGATTTCGTTTCTGCCCTCAAGGTGAGACTTCTGTTGCTGGGAATAGAAGTAAAGAACTGAGTCTTGGCTCAAAGGCTGCCCACAGCTCAGAGAGGTCCTCCCTGGCCCTGCCCTCCCACAGTGGGGGGTCCAGACCCCGTAGCTTCTTGCTGTCTGAGTTCCTTTGGGAAGGATGCTGGGCAGAGGGAAAGCGACTAATTGAAGAGAGAGGAGAATGTGAGAACCCTGGAGAACGGCTAGTTCAGCCTCATTTCCAAAGGAAGGAAACGGAGGACCCCAAGGGGGAAGTGATGGGCAAGGTCACAGAATAACGCCCTTGATTTCGGGGCCTGGTCTGTTCGCCCAATCCAGCGGAGCCTTACTGATGAGATGAATCCACCCAGGGATTCATGTGTAGGATGGATGAGGGGTGTTGTTTTTCTCCTTCCTTCACGTGCCACTTAACGGCAGGGACACGTTCTGAGAAATGCTTTGTGAGGTGGTTTTGTTGTTTAGCGAACATCATAGAGTATGTAGCCTAAGAGGTCCAGCCTACTGCACACCTAGGCTGTAGGTACAGCCTATTGCTCCGGCTACAAGCCTGCACAGCACGTGACTGTACAGAACAGCATGAGACTAAACCATGTGTTTGCAGCGATGCCCGTGTAAATGAGCCCAACACGCTGCCAGTCGTACAAAAGTATAGCACACACAGCTATGTGCGGTACTTAATACCTGGTAACAATAATGAAGGACTGTTTACAGCTTATGTATTTACTATATTAGACTTTTTTTTATCATTACTTTAGAGTATAGTCTTTCTACTTATAGAAAAAGGTTTGCTCTAAAGCAGCAGCCTCATATATCTTGTTTACCACATCTCTCTTTTAAAAAAAATTTAAAAATTGATTTCAGAGAGGAAGGGAGAGGGAGAGAGAGAAACATCAACGATGAGAGAGAATCATGGATTAGCTGCCTCCTGCACACCCCACACTGGGGATCGAGCCTGCAACCCAGGCATGTGCCCTGACTGGGAATCAAACCGTGACCTCCTGGTTCATAGGTCGACGTTCAACCACTGAGCCATGCTGGCCGGGCTACCATATCTCTTGATCATATCATGTCCCCTGGTGCATTTAGACATACTCTATTTACAGCTTATAAAAGTGTATGTACTGATAGACGATGATTGGTGGGAACAGGAAAAGGGAAATAGTTTTAAAGTAGTAAGACTTGGGGTGTACTTTTCTCTTTTGCACTTTCCTATGTTGTATAATGAATGTAATTTTGAGGGGAAGAGTCATTGCGCGTATTTAAGATGCCCTTCTTTGATTTTTTAAATTGAGTTTAGACAGAGAGGAAGGGAGAGGGATTGAGAGATAGAAACACTGATGAGAGAGAAACGTTGATTGGCTGCCTCCTCCATGCCCCACACTGGGGATCCGGCCTCCAACCCTGGCATGTGGCCTGACCGGGAATCGAACTGGTGACCTCTTGGTTCGTGGGTTGACATTCAACCACTGAGCCACACCGGCCGGGCAAGATTTCTTACGGTTGAGGTGGCTGGTGAAATGACATGGTGATGAGTCCTGCAGAGAGTTTACACACACACATCGGAGCAGTGGTTCTTAGGAAGAGCTCACCTTTGTTATCCCTCCCTCCTTTCCTTCCTCTTTGCTCATTGCCGTGGCTAAGGTCTCTCCTAGAAGTAATCTACACCGAGAGAGACGGTATTATGACCTTCTAGCAAGGGCTAGAGGAATATACGTGGAGGCCTTGATGGTTTCTCAGTCGAGGTGAAGAACACGGAGGTACAAACACGGGGAGTCAGAGCGGCCACATGAGGGGGGTGGAGAGATTCCTATTTGGGTTCGTGCCCTGAATCCTGGCAAACTGACCACCTCAGCTCAGCACACACAGCTGCTCAACCCTGACATGAACACTGTCATGTTCTTTATGTTTCAAAGGCTGTTTCTTTTTAAAAAATATATTTGTATTGATTTCAGAGGAAGGGAGAGGAAGAGAGAGATAGAAACATCAATGATGAGAGAGAATCATTGATCGGCTGCCTCCTGCAAGCCCCCTACTGGGGATCGAGCTTGCAACCCAGGCATGTGCCCTGACCAGGAATCGAACCGTGACCTCCTGGTTCAATGGGTCAACACTCAACCACTGAAGCGGCTGGGCTCAAAGGCTTTTCTTGCCTACCTGGTAGGCAAGAAATAATTACTCAGCATAAATTTAATAAAATATAGAAAATGAATTCAGTCATGAAGATAAGGGCGACAGTAATTCAACTAACCAGTTGGGATTGGAAGTTAAACTCTCCTCTGAATCTTACCCCACACGGAATCTCCAATTAAAATC